AAAGGCCTCCAACCTAATAGCAAAGGTCTCCAACCTACAAGCAAAGGCCTCCAACCTACAAGCGAAGGCCTCAAACCTAATAGCAAAGGCCTCCAACCTAATAGCAATGGCCTCCAATCCACAAGCAATGGCTTCCAACCGGCTCTTTCTTCGCAAACCTTGATGCATCACACCTGATGACCTGCTCTTGCAAACTCTGAATTCTGCGAGTCACGCCCCTCACCAATGTTCAGTCCAATGCATCCAAACCCAGCGGGTCCTGTGCCTGAAGCAAGCAAAGCACTGTAGTTTTGAAAACTCGGTCTGTTGATATGGAGCGTTGAAGGCCGTGCCCTTTGCCCCAGAAAGTCAAATCATCTCAAACCTATATAGCAAGTGTAAAATCTGGATGTAAGCAGCTACCATCCTCACTCCCAAAGCTGCCTTGGCGGGTGGACCAGGTTTTGAGGGCTCTAGCAGCTTGTCCTCTTTCGGCAGCTCCGGCGGTTGCCCCTTTGGCACTGCCGCTCGTGGCCGCTCTGGCGGCTGGAAAACAGGGTCTGCCCGGAGAGGTGCAGCGGCCGCCTCGGTCTCTGCCTGTGGACCCTGTGGGCCTTGTGGGCTTGGAACAGGTTGGCCTTGGGCCCTGTTTCCCATCGGCTTTTCAACCTTGGCACGCTCGGGTGGTTGGAAGATCGGAGCATTGCGCTCAGCCACAGGTGCAGTAGGTGCAGTGCGTTGTGGTGCCTCTACTGCTTTTACCGCAGGGGTCTTAGAGCCAATTGGTTTGGCCGGCTTGACACCCGTGGCCACACCAGACTCTGGTAGCTTCAGCACCTCAGTATTTCAATTTGCCCACAGCCAAAAGCAGCATGTGGAGTTGCTACATTCACGCATGGTTCAGACTCGAATTCGCCGAGCTAGAAATTCATAAACTTAGTGCATGTACCCAAGCATTCAGAACTACCTTGCCAGAATTTGACCTGAAGCAAAGCTGCACATCTTCTGAATTTGTCCACAAATACACAGCTTCTCTCAGCACCATTGCACTGTGTTGCACTGTCATTGCGGCAACTGGCAGATAGAAGTAAGTGTTGGGGCCAGACTACCTACTGAAGGTCTGTTGTGACTCATGACTCATGACCTTTTTGTTCCGCAGAAATGTAGACAGATCCACCAGCGTTCGGTTAGGGCTTTTCTCCATGGTACAGATTCTCTACGGCACAAACCCTCAGGCACAGTGGTTCAAACTCCAGCAAGTGTAAGAATCAAAGTATTCCGCGTACAAAATGCGCGCTTCTCTGGCACCAACCTTTAGTGTCAGTGGGACCAAAGGAACCTCAAGCAGTTGAGATATATAATCATCACGTTCAACTGGGTAATAACTACGTCCTTCCCTTCCACGCCCAGCCACAACTCCACGCTTTTCGTCCGACACAAAGATACTGCCATGATGATCGACAGCCAAGCCCCACCTAAAGCTGAAGCAAAAAATTGCAGTTGGCATAAGTTAAGCCAACATAGAAACTGATTGGTACCCCTCCACAGCAAAAAAATCTGCCTCTTTGGCAGTTGTGATCTTTGCTCAAAAAACGCAAAATTATGTTTTTTCTTGCCAATACCCAGGTGTACGCTAGGTGCAAGGACCACAAGGCTTGACTGATTGAGAGTTCGAGAGAGTAGTTTGGAATCATATCAGGAATATTCAGGAACCTAGTCCAGTCACTGGTCCTCAACAGGAAAGAATCGGGATGCTTCACAGTCAGGTGATCCTGGTCCAGATTCCTTGTTGAGAAAGGACGTGCCCTTCAAGGAGCTACTGCCACGTTGGCGAAGCTTGCAATCAGGGCACGGTCGTTCCACCAGGTCGGGCCCCAGAACCAACTCTCCTTGACCTGTCGAACTGTCACAGAACAAGCTACAAGGATAGCTCTAGGCTGGCAACTTTGGTAGACTTCCCAAAGAAACAATTTCGCTATGGATTTTTGGCTGTGAGAAACTCAGGATGTTTGCAAGAAAGTCCTTTCACTTTTGTTTGCACCGATTTGATGGAGAAAAGTGTTGATTCATCCATCCTGGAAACGGACGACTAATTATCGAAATAGTCCAACAAATTCATTGAGTGTTTTTCTCAAAACATGATCTCTGGTGAATGGTGTGAAGTTTTGTAAAACAAGGAGTTGGCTTGGACCTTCTGTGAAGAATCCATCGTATTCTTGCTTGACAGTGGTTTAAATTATGTACATGAATGCACGTGCAGGCCCGAAACCATAATGATGGAGAAACATCCCCTGAGTTCGATTAGTCTAGCCACTCTTCATGGATGTTGAGTGGTGTCTCACCTACACGCACATTAGATCAACTCTGCTTTTCACCTGTCTCTATTGGACGAAACATCACATGTACGGCACCTTCCCGGAAACGTAGCACGCGGGCATTGCCACGGTCAGCCACTAGGAAGCTACCATCAGCTTCCACCACCAAGCCTGAAGCAACGCCCCAGACACCAACGATTTAGCCAAGTGGTTGGGTAGTTGGCCTTGTGTCAACAAAGCTGCGAGGTCTCTCAGTTGGTCTTTGAGCTTCACTTCTCGAACTCTGCTGCCAAGCACCTGTGGGCATCGAGAGCTCCATCAAAGAGCTCCCAGCTTTGCCCTCGCAGGACCCAGCCACTGTCTCACCTGCGAGATGCACCACACTCACCACAACTCTGAAACACTGAGTTTCAGTGACTAGTTGGCTTGTGAGATCTTGTGGGCAGGCAAGTAGTTTTCTCCACCTGCCAGGTGAGGGTTGGGCTTTATGAGAGCTGCAGTGGGCCCGCCGGCCCTCAACCACAAGTACTACATCGCAGTGGGCACCGACGCCCCTCAACCACAAGCACTAGATCGCAGTGGGCACCGCCGGTCCTCAACCGCGAGCGCTCAATCGCAGTGGGCACTACCGGACCTAGCAGATAGAAAGAATGCCAGAATATACGCCAGATAGAATGCCGGATGCACGCCAGATAGAATGCTGGAGGGATGGAATGCCAAAAAATATGCCTGTATATATGCAAGATAGACACGTTCGTGGTGATGTTGAAGCAATATGGCTGTCGGTAGTATAACAAACACCATGGTGGGGATCACTCATTTAAAGTACTCATTGCCAAGTGATTCATCTTGCGCAATCTTCTACCTGCATGGG